AGCAGAAGGAGCCCACCCCGCCCTCAGAGAGACCACCGTGCCTCCCTGAGCCAGAGGGTGGACTTAAGTGTCTGATCCCAGAGGGTGCTGTGTGCAGGGGGGAGCTGCTGGGCTCAGGCTGCTTTGGCGTGGTGCACCGAGGGCTGTGGACATTGCCCAGCGGCCAGACTGTGAGTGTCCAGGGACGCTACCTCATCCTGGCCCAGCTGCCCCCTCTGTTCCTCATGCCCTCTCTGCTCTGTCTTGGCAGTAGATCCCCTTGCCTGATGGTGCTCCCCCGCCTCCAGGTCCCAGTGGCTGTCAAGTCCCTCCGGGTAGGTCCCGAAGGCCCCGTGGGCACAGAGCTGGGGGACTTTCTTCGAGAGGTGTCGGTCATGATGAACCTGGAGCACCCACATGTGCTGCGTCTGCATGGCCTTGTTCTGGGCCAGCCTCTGCAGATGGTGAGCAGATAGACCCACGCGCTGGTTCCCCGCCCAGCGCCGGGGCTGGTGTGCGGCAGGAGGGTAGGCGGCCTGAGTCCCGCCGAGAGGACCCAGCTCACAGGCGCTGTTCTACAGGTGATGGAGCTGGCGCCACTGGGCTCCCTGCACGCGCGCCTGACGGCCCCAGCCCCGACATCCCCGCTGCCGGTGGCTCTGCTCTGCCTCTTCCTGCGGCAGTTGGCGGGGGCTATGGCGTACCTGGGGGCCCGCGGGCTAGTGCACCGAGACCTCGCGACACGCAACCTACTGCTGGCTTCGCCACGCACCATCAAAGTGGCGGACTTCGGGCTGGTGCGGCCGCTGGGCGGTGCCCGGGGCCGCTACGTCATGGGCGGGCCCCGCCCCATCCCCTACGCCTGGTGAGGGCGGGCGCGAGCAGGCTGGGTCTGGAGGGCAGCAGCTAGCAGCTCGAGGGCTGGTCTTCTGAGGGAGGCTGGGACAAGAGGAATTGTCACCCTTGGAAAGGAGGACTTCTGAAGACTTTGGGAACACGGGGTGGGCGGCGTTCAGTGGAAGATGTGCTCAGAGGAGCACACAGCCGGCCGCCTTTAGCTCCACTTCCTTCCGCAGGTGTGCTCCGGAGAGCCTGCGCCAGGGAGCCTTCTCATCTGCCTCAGACGTGTGGATGTTCGGGGTGACGCTGTGGGAGATGTTCTCCAGGGGCGAGGAGCCCTGGGCCGGCGTCCCGCCGTACCTCATCCTGCAGAAGCTGGAGAAGGACCGAGCGCGGCTGCCTAGGCCTCCCCTCTGCTCCAGGGCCCTCTACGCGCTCGCCTTGCGCTGCTGGGCCCTCCACCCTGCTGACCGGCCTGGCTTTTCCCAACTGGAGGGCCTTCTCCAAGAGGTGGGGACCCCATCTCCCCAGATACACAGTCTCTCTTTCCTTCATTCTCTCTCCCCAGCTTCCATGCGCAAGACTAACATATCCAGATGCCAGTGCTGGGCTCTGGGACCCAGCTCTGAGCAAAACAGATTTAGTCCTCACCTGCAGGGAGCTCAGAGCCCTGGAGAGGCAGCCTGGGGCCACTTAGATGCAGTGGGGGAGACTAGGGTCTGTGTCTGGGCCAGAAAAGGGGCACAGAGGGGAGAGCAGTAGGTCACAGGGCGTGTTTGACAGGCAGAGGAAGAGTTTCTTGTGGGAGGGGGAAATGGAAGTAATGAGGCAGCAGAATGAGCAGGGGCTGCGTGCTGGAGGGTTTTCCAAGGCGTGGCAGGTAACGCTGGCGTGCTTTATGTGGATCCTTACCCAGATTCACTCATTTCATCCTCTCAGCCATCCAATGAGACAATTATTATCTCCATTTTACTGATGGGACAATTGAGGCACTGACAGTTTATGTGGCTTGCCTAAAGTCATACAGTAAGTGCAGGAGTTGGGATTTAAATCGGTCAATTTGACTTCAGGGCTGTTCCCTAAATCACTACACTCTACTCTTAAAGTTTAGTCTTTACCCTGAGGGCATTTGGGAGCTAGGGAAGGGTATTGAGCAGGGGAGTCACAAGCTTTGCATGTTGCATCACTCTGGGGTGGTGCAAGAATGGATGAAAGGGATGATGCCGAGGATGAAAAGACCAGGTAGGCAACAGTGGCTGAGAAGCTCTAGGTAGCAATATGGCCCTTCTCTGTTGCTTCTGAACCCTGGGCAGTATACAGCTTGGCATGGAATCCAGGTCTACCACCCCCACTAGATTACAACTGGGGGACAAGGAGTGTCCCACCCTGGGCCCAGGACAGAGGACATACATGGTATGGGTTTGACTGGTGGGTGCACAAACAGAGGGAAGTCTTCTTTCTTCCATGTTCCCATATTACCTTTTTGACTCAAGCCAAAAGCTCAACCCTTTCATCCTGTCTCCATAGGCGTGGCCTTCTGAGGGACGCTGTGTAAGGGATGTCACAGAGCCAGGTGCCCTGAAGATGGAGCCCGGTGACTCCATCACCATCATCGAGGGCAGGTGACAGCCTCATACCTCCCAAGCAGCCCCAGGAGGAAGACACCCTCCAAACCTTCCTGACTCCTGGTCCCCTCTTTGCTTCTCCCCAACTCCTTGAACCCTGAGCTTCTGCCTCTTCTCCTCTCCGCTGTGGGCCCTGAGAGCTCCAGCACAGTCCTGGCCTCCCTGCTGGGGCTGCTGCTGGCCCACAGCGCTTTTGCATTAGGGAGGGGCTTCCCTCGATGCAGATGTGGCTCCAAGGCACACAGCCTGGTGAGCTGACTGAGGGCTGCAGCCCAGACCCCACTCTTCCCCTTGTCCCATCCCGGTCACCAGCTCGTCTTCCCACAGCCCCAACTCCACAATCTGGAAGGGCCAGAATGGTCGAACCTTCAAAGTGGGCAGCTTCCCGGCCTCGGCAGTGATGCTGACAGACTTGACAGGCCCGCCAGCTGCCTGTCCAGCGCACAGAGGCCCCCCTGCCCAGGGAGAGTACCCCCCAGGAAGCATAGAGGGGTGAGGACCTGAAATGGCTAGGGGGATAGGGTGGGGCTGGGGGGACCAAGTCCAGCAATTTCTCTGGAAGGGAAGCTTGGGGACAAGACCAGGGTGGAAGCTGGTGATCCTGGACTTGCCTCTCAGCTAGAGCTTCCACCTGGGTCTCCTAGGTGCCCCAGAGAATTTGAGAGGGAACATTAGTATGTGTGGTGAAGAGGGGTAGTATTGAGGACGAACTGATCACTCTCCGACAGGAACAGAAAGAAGGAAAAGCTTCGGGATCTACACCCAGCGCGGGGCCAGAGAAGGAACGTTCCCCTGCACAGGATGAAAGGTGGGCATGGCGGGACTCCAGGGTCCCTGAGGAGATCCCAAACAGCCCTCCATTTGTGCCCCCTGGCCTGAATCCATGCCTTTGCATGTATGATTTCATTCCCCCAAATTCTGTCTGTTGGCATCCTAGCTATACCGTGAGATCTTGAGACAGGAAGCCCCCCTGCCTTCCCTACTGAACAGAACCTCCCCACTCTGGACCCTGAGCACTCAGTTTTTTGGCACTGAGCTGCCTAGGCCTTGGTGTCCATTTGCATGCCTGTCTTACTGTCCCACCTGACATGTGGATCATACTGAGGGCAAGGCTGGCTAGCTTATCTGCATATGTTTGCGAAACCATCCAGCTTAGCACAGGTAAGACAGAGAGCCAGAAGAAGGCAGGACCTAACATCTGGGCCTCCTATCAAGTTGTTTCTTTTTCAACTGTACAGGCATTTCCAAGAGTCTGGAGTCAGTTCTGTCCCTGGGCGCTCGTCCCACAGGGGGTGGTTCGAGCCCCCCTGAACTTCGACAAGCCAGAGCTGTGCCCCAGGGACCCCCAGTCCTGCCTCCACGCCTGCCTTTCACCTCCAGCTCTTCTTCTCAGCCCAGCCAGCCCCCCAGGGAACGGCCTCCCTGGCCCAAAAGAGAACCCCCACACAATCACCCCATGGGAGTTCCTGGAGCCACTAAAGCCTCTGTCCCCAATGGAGCCCTCCTGCCCAACCCTGAGTTGCAGAGGAAGATTATAGAGGTGAGGTCTCACTGAAGTAGCCACTGTAGTCCAGAAGGGGCTACAGGCTGGGGCAGGAGCCTAAATAAAGCTTTGTCCCCCACAGATGGAGCTCAGTGTGCATGGAGTCACCCACCAGGAGTGCCAGGCAGCACTAAGAGCCACTGGGGGAGATGTGGAGTCTGCCATCCGGAACCTCAAGGTAAAGCCAGACCCTTCTCTTGGGCTACCTCCTCTCCTGCCCCTTACACCTAGTAGTCAGCTGCCCTCTCTCCTGCTCCCACAGGTAGACCAGCTCTTCCACCTTAGTAGCCGGTCCCGAGCTGACTGCCGGCGCATTCTGGAGCATTACCAGTGGGACCTCTCAGCTGCCAGCCGCTATGTCCTGGCCCGGCACTGAGCTCTGCTTCCCTGGGCATGTACGCCAGCATGGAAAGCCTGGGCCCCTCAGGGCCTGGCCACGTGGGACCAAGCAGAACCAGAATAAGGTCTTAACAGGGGCAGACTTTCCCACCTGGGGAAGTCCCACCTGCTACGGGCAGTAAAGGAGGAGCCCTGGGTCAGACACTGACAAATGTCTCCCGCCTACCCTGCCCTTGGCCTCTGAGGGCTCAAGCTCCTTTGGCCAGGCCAAGAAGGATCTAATCCACTCTGCCTACCACACTCCCAAACAAGAGGAGGACTTGGAGGAAAGAGCTGCTATATATCCTATCCAGAGGAAGCTTCTACTCACTACAGAGAATGCTGAAGTGGCCACACTCGACCATGGGAACAGCCACCCTGAACTGTCATCAGCTACCACCCTGAACTCTGTGAGCAGTCATCCTGGATGATGGAAGCAGCCATACTGACTTGGGACACATTGCCCAGGGCCATTGTAGTGGATGACAATTGCTCTCTTGGACTCAAGGACATTTGATCCCGGTAGCATGGATTATGAGGCAGGCCAGCCCCTGCCCAAATTCATCTGTCACATTTCCCTTTGTTTCTTCCCACACCAACTCTTTCTTCTACCCTCCCCCATTACATACATCTTCCAATGTCCAAAAAGTTACAAAGTTTATATGAATATAACATACAAAGATGCAGCCTCCTTCCTAGGGCAAGGGAAGGAAGGGGTGGTTAAATAAGGCACAGGAAGCTGCAGCAAGCACCAGCTGTGGGCAGGGCCCAAGGGAAAGAGGAAATTGGCACTAGGCCCCACCCCTACAGCTGTTGGTAGGGAGGTGAGGACCCCCTCAAAGTGCCATAGTTTGAGGCTGAGCTAATTGGCTAAGCTGATGCAGGTGGCTATGTCTGCTATCTTTGGTGCCTCTTGGCCTTCCCTACCCGGTCCTGTCGCAAAACTGTAAAACCCGAGTCCTGGGTTCCAGAGGCAGCCTCTGGAGCAGAGACCCCCAGAAGCAGGCGAGAGGGAGTGGGGAGGGGAGGTCTGGACGCCGATATGCCTGTGTGCTGAGGGACTGCAGTGGCGAGAGGTAGCAGGGGAGAGGCTCTCATACATACTCTTCTGTGGGTACCACAGGGGAGGCCAGGGAGTACGGTAGGGATGAGCCCCCTGTCTGTCCCCTGCAGTGTACATGGAGGAAAGGGGCTGCCTCTGAGGAGGGGCCAGGCCAGGGCAAGTGACCATCTTGAGTTCTGGTTGAGGTGATGGTCTCCTCACACCGAGGCGGCCTCTAACTGGTGATGGCAGAAGGCCCAGCACCTCCTCGCTTCTCGAAGAACATGTAGTCCTGAGGGGAGGCCACAGTCAACTGGAGATCTGCTGGGCCAGCCTGGCTCAGCTCTCATAACCCAAGTCTGGAAGCTCAACCCCCCATACCATTATCCCTAACCTTCTAGCAAGAGGCCAGGAAGCACACAAAGCTTCAGGTGACAGCAGAGAAGCAGCAGGGGATGGGGGGCGGCAGCCAACTCACAATGAGGAACGTGGCTCCCAGCAGCACAGCCTTCACCCTCACGTCCAGGTCCAGTGGGAACTGCAGGCCAAAGTCATCTGCATCCGTGAGGGCCTCTCGGAGCAGCCCCCCCCACTGCTTGCTGATGCGGCCCACACTGCGGGATTCGTCCTTTGTCTTCACCTGTCAGGAGGGAGGGAGGGAGGATCCAACTGGGGAGAAAGTAACCGATCTCACTTGCCTCCAATCCCACTCCGACAGTCTCCATGTAGGAATTGTGCAGGCTCTACACTCAGCGAATCTTCTCATCCAGAGATCACCTAGTTACCTTCCCCACTGGTTCCCATCACAGAAGGCAACAGCTGGGGAAGCAGGCACCCTACATCACACTATGAGTCTATAGCAAAACTCAGGATTCAGACTCTGATCTGTTGCTATTCGAAGGCCATGCATGACATAAATGGACACCAGTGGTGGGAGGAATGGAAGCAAGATATAGTCTAATCCCCTTAGTATATGGCCATTTGCTAGGTTTGCTTTGGTTCCCAATGTCCCTGCCACCCACAGTGAATGCAGTTTGTGCCCGGCACAAAGTACCCTAGCCAAGAGGGCAAGGAAGGCTGCTGAAATCCTGGCTGTACTTCTACCAGCCAAACACGCTCCCAGAAGGCTTTGTCTACACAAAGGAGTGCCTTTTCCCTATTCTGCAAAGTAGAGGTGTGGGGGCCTGTGCAGCATTGCATGCAAGCCTGATCTAGAGGGGATCTAAGCCTCTCTGTTGAGGGAGGGGAAGCAGTAAGTAGCCTTTGAGGACCAAAATTTCCGCTGGCCTCTCTGAGCCCAGCAGCAACAGGCCCCACTGATGTGGGTGGTAACTGACAGTGACTTCCTGGTCCTTTTGCTGTGCTCATTCTCCAGTGAATAGAACTGGAACAATTTCCTTCTGTGTCCTTTCCATCCTTATCCCCCACTGTCCTACAGTTCTGGCACACTTCTTGCAGCCCAGTCCTAAGCTAGGCAGGACCTGTCCTAGCTAGCCCTGCAGTCCCAAGGGTACAGCCCCAAGTATGGACCATTTATAATTGTGCAAAAGGGACGCTATGAGAACCCCACAGTCTACACATTCTCATCCAGGGATCGCCTACTTATCTCTTTTCCAACCAGTTCCCATCACAAAACCTCCCTCCGGCTACCAAGGTGACTCATTTTTTACAAGTAACCTTGAGTAGGGCACCTCATTAGAAGTGTTGGAAAGTCTACTGGATTATACCTGTTGTTTTTCCCTTATCTGCACAGGGAATTATGCCTTAAAGACCCAAGGCTCTGTGGAGTGCCTTTGTCTTCTGCAAACCAAAGTGTTTCCCAGGCCTCACTCTGAAATTGTCACCACTTGGGATGTCCAGGCTTCGGGTTGGTGATAGAAATGCATGGTGAGAAGAATATCACCTGGATATCAGCTTGGAGGGGCCATTTGGACTTCCAGGTTGGCAGGGCAAGCCATGGGATGTTAACATGTTAAATTAGCACTTGTTCCAGGGCCTAGGCTCACAAACTTATGCTTAGCAGCCACATGGGCCCGGCCCATGGCAGACTTAATCATCTTTCACCCTAAATCCAGTCTGGCCTTAGGTTCCCTACCACCACCAACTTGGAGCTGTATGTATCCATCAGCACTGGTCCTTAAGATGAAATTCTCTTTGCCATACTATTATAAGACCATGGGGCCATCCTTATTTCCCAATGAAGGAAAATTGCAAATGTGGTAAGAGTCACTGTGAATTTAGATTGATGAGCTCAGGATCTTGACCTTAGTGTTTGCCATCCTGGCTCATGGAAGCTGCCATCTTACTTATGAAGATCCCAGGAATCTCCCTGTAATCCTGATACCTCAAAGTTGGTGTCTGTGCCACATCCACAGGTCCAGCAGGGCCCCACCACTCGCAGGACCGTCTGGCGATCAGCATCCTGGATGGAGAACTTGGGGAGGAAGGGATGCCAGGTCTGCAGTACATGGCCAATGGTGGTGCCTGGTGGAGCCTGTACTTCCATCTGGAGTGGGAAGCAGACAGGGTCACTGCCCAGCCAGGGCACCCCGGCCCAAGCTCTCACTGGTCCCAAATCTACCTATTTGGCTCCCCACTAAACCTCCCATCCCCATCTGCCCACTCCCACCCAGCCATGCCTCTTCCTGGGCCCGCCCTACTATTGTCCTGCCCCATCAAGGCCCGCCCCTTACCAGAGCCTCTTCCCAACCCCATCCCTCCCACCCACCTCCTGGAGGCCACAGGGGCAGCAGCTGCAGCCACAGTGAAGTGGGCGGAGCAAACGCAGCACCTCCCGGTCCCCAGGGTCCGCCAGGCGGACACGCAGCGGGCGGCGGGCACCACAGCACAGACGGGCGCAGCAGTTGCTCTCCTCGGCCGCCTGACCCAGAGGCTGCCCGGCCCCCGAGCGCAGTTCGTACCGGTTACAGTTCTCCCAGCCTAGGAACGCTGCCAAGGGTGACAGTGAAACTCAGACACAGCCTGCCTAGGCGCCCACCACACCTGTCACCGTCATGAGGCCCAACCTACTCCTCCTACTTACTTTCCACTCGGTCAGCCTTCTGGTGAATCAAGATCTGATCAATCTGGAAAGAGAGGTAGGGGCAGCACGGACATCAGCTGGTCCACCTACAGGCCCAGGTCCCCTCCCTGTCACCCTTCCTTCCTCCCACTCACCTGCACCAGGAATTCCAGGCCAGAAGGCACCCCTGGCAGTGGCAAGAAGGGGGCAGCAGACGCCGGGGCCACGGGGCCGGGCGAGGGGAAGAGAGCGAAGCCAGGCGCAGGGGCAGGTACCTGGGCAGGTACCTGGGCAGGCACTGGTGCCTGTCCGGGCCCAGGATGCAGCGCCGGCTCCGGGTACCCAGCAGTCACAGGGTAGGGAGGTGGGGGCGAAGGGGCGTAGCCTTTGGGGGACAAGTAGCCTGTAGGAGGATAGGGTTAGATTAAAAAGGAAGGAACCCGTGACCTCATGCCGTTATTCCTCAGCCCATGGCCCGCAAGGCTGCGGGGGCGAGGGGGGGAATGTGGCGGGAAGAGGCAGAGAGAGATGGGGCAGGGGAGCAGGGCGGAGGCTCCCCAGGAGGAAGGGAGGGGCCCCACCCGGCCAGTCCGAGCACATTCTCGGAGGATGTGTTCCACACCTAGCTCCCGAGTCCGTGGGGGGATAACGGAGACCCCCGGCCTTGCGTGCATTTACCTGCCATGAGAAAGGGGCTGGAGTTTTCGGGATGGCGGTGTCGGGGCGGCTTAGTTCTGGAAGTGGAGGCAGGCTCGGAGACAGCCAGACAGACACAGAGACAGACACAAAGACGGACAGGCAAACGCTGAGAGGCAGCTGCGCGCCGGCCCAGGGTCCCTCGGGCGGCGCCTCTGACTCGGGAGAAACCGAAAGTGTCAGTGGGCGGGGCGGGGTACCTGGGACCCTGGATTCCCTCAGGGGCCCCAGAACCGCCCCCTCCCTTTGTTCTCCCATTCTCCGCGGAGGCGGCTGTTGGCGGACAGCAAGACAGGTGGACCCGCGATCAGACCGACGGCCCGGCCTCGGGGGCGGTCTCCCTGACCCCTCTGTGCCCCCGCTCACCTGAAGCCCTCAGCGCGGTCGGGGTGCCGAGCACCCGGCGGCTCTCCGGAGCTCGGGGAGGTGGGCCCGGGGTCTGACTCCGCCCCTCGACCCGGCCCGGCCCCGCCCCTCCGGGCGCGAGCGGCGCGTCTGCGCAGACAGGAGGCCGCCTCCCGTCCCGCGGGACCGCGGGCCCCGGGCCGTGCGCTCCCTGGCGTCGCCCGCGTCCCCGCCCCTTCCGCTCCAACTGCAGATGCCCCGAGAGGAAGGGAGCCTGGGAAGGGCGGCGGGCTAAGCCCCGGCCCTGCGACCCCCGGCAGGTCCGCGGAGTGCTCAGCGCCCCTTGGTGGAAAACCGGGGCTGCCCGCGCTGCGCTCCCACGGCGCGGCTGTGCCGAGTCCTGGGTTCGGGCCTGGCTGACGCGGCGGAACACCCTTCGCGCTCACTCATTGGCTTCCAGGACTGGCTCCTGGCTCCCTTTCTTCCTCCCAAGGGCGACCTCGCTATCCTCTCTCCGTGACGCAGCGGTGACCCACACAGGCGCCTCGCAATCACAGTAGTCTTCCAGGCGCCCCCGCCACGCGGTTGACGGGCCGCCAAACGGCTCAGTAATGGGCGTGCGTGAGTTGAGGCCTGGGGGAGTAGGGGCAGAGAGGAAGTGCGGTCAGAAAAGGCAGCCCCCAAGGCGAGGTCTGGGGTCTGGGTCCCGAGCAGAGGGAGGTCCGCAGGTGCGAGGAGGCCTTGGGAGCCTACAGGCTGAGCGGCCGCGCAAGGGATGAGTTGAGAGGGTGCTGTCCACGTGCACAGAGGCCCTCGTGGGAGCTGGGATTTGGCCTGAAGGGCAGCAAGGAGCCCACCAAAAGATTATAAGACAAAGAGAGGTCAAATGTGTGTTTTAAAGATCTTTCAGGCAGGGGCGTGGTGGCTCGCGCCTGGGAGCACTCTGGGAGGCCCAGGCGGGAGGATCATTTGAGAGCTCAGGAGTTCGAGACCAGCCTGAGCAAGAGCGAGACCCCGTCTCTACTAAAAAAACAGAAAGAAAGTAGCTGGACAATTTAAAAAAAATTAGCCGGGCATGGTGGCACATGCCTGTAGTCCCAGGTACTTGGGAGGCTGAGGCAGAAGGATCCCTTGAGCCCAGGAGTTTGAGGTTGCTGTGAGCTAGGCTGATGCCACGGCACTCTTAACCCTCTAATGGGGGCAATAGAGTGAGACTCTGTCTCAAAAAAAATAAAAAGATGTAAACTACAATGGCGAGAACAATGAACGTGCAATAGTCTAGGGGAAAGGATGGCTGCGGTGGTGACAGGGCAGACGTTAGATGTATTAAGAAAAATAATATAGCACTTGGTTTGGGGAATGAGATGTGGAGGTAACTAGTGAAGGATGACCCCAGATGCCTGTCTAACCAGGCAGATGAAAGTGTCACCTGCCAAGAGAAGCATGGGGAGAAGCAAGTGGGGGTGAGAGGGGCCTCTGTCTGCCCCTATGTCCTTGTTCCTCTGAACTTATCCTGGCCCTTTCTCCCAGGGCTGCTCAGCTCCTCCCCGCAGCGTCAGTCCTCATCTGCTCCAGACTCAAATGCCTGATCTCTCCTGGTGTTGCCTAGTGCCTCAGACTCCACATGGCCCCAAGCTTGAGCTAGCTTCCACCAAAACATATAAACATACAGAAATTCAGTGATCCAGTGAAGATTTAGTGAGCACCTACTATAAGTCAGACTGCACTGAGGTGATAGGAATATACAGCAGAAAACAAACACCAAATTCCCGGCCTCCTGGGGCTTACATTCCAGTTGAGAAGAGTCAGATAATAAGTAACTAAATTAAATGTGAAGTTAGATGGTGACTGGGAAGTGCTGAAGAGCAGGACAGGGAGGGAAGGGAGTGGAGGGCAGGCGTTGCCACTTAAAATAGGGCCGACTAGGAAGGCATCACCAAGGTGATAGCTGAGCAAACACCTGAAGGAGAGGGATTGAGTCATACAGACTTCTGGGTGAAGAGTGTTTCAGGCAGAGGGAAGAGCAAGGGCAAAGGCCCTGAGGCAGAAACGTGTCTTACTTGTTCAGTAAACAAAAGACCAGTTTGGCTGGAATAGAATTTACTGGGGGAGGTAAGACAGGTCACAGGAGACCCTTTAGACCATTGGATTGTACTCTCATCTGGGGTGCTTGAGGAAATAACCTATGCCTGAGCCCCACTTCATTTCAATTTAATTAGAATATCTGGGGTAAGGTACAGACATAGGATCTTGTTGAGAATTCCTTAGATTTTAATGTGTAGCCACATCTGAGAAATACCGTGTTAGAAGGATTTTGTCTTTCAGACTGCTTTGTCAAGAGTAGGCTGTAAGTAGACAAGGGCAAAAAGTGAGATATGATGGGGGTGCTTAGACCTGGGACCAGGGTGATAGCAAGGGAGGTGGTGAGAAACGGTCAGATTCCAGATGTGTATTTGAGCCAACAGGACTTGATGATGGCTTGGATGTAGGATGTGAGGAAAGAAGAAGTCAAAGTGGACACAGACTTGGCCCGGGAGACTGTTCTGCACAGTGTGGGCCCACCCTTATTCTGTTTGGCCCTTTCCTACCTGCCTACCCAGTCCTGGGCCCCAGGTACTCTTATTTTCCCTCCTGACTTATTACCAATATAGTCTTTTCCATTTTTTTCTGGTGTGCTCCTATTCATGTTGAAATACCAGCAACACACTGGAGTCTTACCAGTCCCCAAAGGCAAAACAAACCCACCTCAGGATCTACTTGTAAAACTGAACATAATGTATCAAGTTATCTTTTTAAAGGGTCTGTCTTCACTGCTGAAATGTATTTTTTGGTTTGTAGAAGAAAGAACAAACTTAGCTCTGGGAGTTGGACAGAGGAGAGTTTGAATCACAGGTTACTCAGGTCCTAGCTGCATGATAGAGGACAAGTTCCTTCACCTCTCTTAGCTTCCCTGTCCCTAACTTGCAGGGCTATTGAGACGACCTCCCCAAAATGTTCAGTAAATGTCATAACTCTCATTCTATTAATGCTGCCCCAATATACATCTTCTTGCCCTTTCCCTGGCTTGTCACCCTTGACCTATATCTTTTGAGGCAGTCTCCACCCATTTCCTGCTTTTGTGTTCTAGATGGTAAGGCCTATATCCTGAACCACTTGATTACCTTATTTTTGCTTTAAGTCTACATGATTGACTTAATAGTGCTTATCCAACAGTGTAACCCCCTTAGTGTCATGTGTGTTCTGGACAGCTGCCTCCTTCCTGCTGGCCCTGTGAGGTGTTGCTGACTTCTTCACTCCGGGTCTGTAAAAATTTCATCTTTTCACAATTTCAGTCTGAGTGTCCCTTGCTGTGCCACACCTGACTACACCCAAACTACCTTAAATACCTCACGTAACAAAAATCACAGTAATAATAATGGGGACCAGTTATCAAGCAGGCTTTATTTATCTTGGTCCCCCAAGAGCCCAGCCTACTGGCAGAACCAAAGCTAAGGCATTGGGGATCCCATTATATCGAGGGTAGCCATTACAGATGCTTGGGGTCTCCTCCACCTGGATGTTCCCCCTGGGCCCCAGATGCTACCTGAGATGAAGGATGGACATGTAGCAAGAGCACTGGACTGGGAGGTAGGAGCCTGGGGGTCTAGACTTGGCTCTGTCATTGGACCCTTCGGTAACTATTAGGTCCCCTCTGAGAACTTATTTTTTTTTTTTTTAATTTTTTGCTGCGTCATTTACGGATTCTCAGCAGAATCTGAGAACTTATTGTACTCATCTTTAAAATGAAGAAATAAGCTTACTGAAGTAGCTCACACCTGTAATCAGTGTAAACCAGTGACTAGGGAGGCTGAGACAAGAGGCTCACTTGTGGCCAGGAGTTGGAGGCTACAGTGAGCTATGATCACACCACTGCACTCCAGCCTGGGTGACAGAGCAATACTCCATCTCCAAAAAAAATTTTTTGAGACAGAGTCTCGCTTTGTTGTCCAGGCTAGAGTGAGTGCCGTGGCATCAGCCTCGCTCACAGCAACCTCAAACTCCTGGGCTCAAGCAATCCTGCTGCCTCAGCCTCCCGAGTAGCTGGGACTACAGGCATGCACCACCATGCCCGGCTAATTTTTTCTATATATATTAGTTGGCCAATTAATTTCTTTCTATTTTTAGTAGAGACGGGGTCTTGTTTTTGCTCAGGCTGGTTTCGAACTCCTGACCTCGAGCAATCGCCTGCCTCCCAGAGTGCTAGGATTACAGGCGTGAGCTACCTCGCCTGGCCAAAATTTTTTTTAATAAAATGAAATATTGTGGTCCTCTACTAATGCACCTGCAATCATGCCACCTCCCTGGATATAAGTGGGTCAGTGGCTCCCCACATTGCCCTCAGGAGAGAGTCCAACTTCTCAGCACAAGGCCCTCCACCATTTGGCCCTGCTATCCTCATCTCTCACCCTTTCTAGCCAGCTGCCAGGAATTCTTTCAGGTCTCTAATACACTCTCTTGACTCAGGCTGCCTTGAAAGCTGCTGGTATAGGAATCTGGAGCTCAGTAAAGACTAGGGTGGGAGACAGATATTCTGGATTTGAAAGTATGTAGATTGTAATTAAAGATACAGGACTGGATGAGATCACCTAAAATCCTCTTGTTGAGAGAAGGGGTCTGCACACTTTTTACATGCATACCTTCAGAAAAATTATGTATGCACTGTGAATATATTATACAGACTGTACTTTATAAAACATGCACAAAAATAGAAATTAAAAAGAATGCTGGGCACGGTGGCACAAGCCTATAGTCCCAGCTACTTGAGAGGCTGAAGCAGGAAGATAGCTTGAGGCCTTGAGTTTGAGGCTGCAGTGTGTGGCCATCGCGCCTGTCAATAGCCACTGCACTCCAGCCTGGGCAATATGGTGAGACCCATCTCTTAACAACAACAACAAAAAAAAGATAATTTAAACTTTCAATAACTTACATGGCACTGCAAACAGAGTCCAAGTGCCTTACTACTTACTGTCTGCAAGGTCTGTACTGGCCATCTGAGACCCCTTAGTCACTACATGACAGCCACACTACCAACTCACCAAATTTTCTCCTGCCTCAAGCTTTTGAGTTGCTCCTTTCAGCCTGTTTTGCTAGCTATTCTTTATGGCTAGAATACATTTCCCCTCCACTTTGTGCATGGTTAGTTCAGCTTCAATAGGACCACCTTCGCCAGGCTTGGTGGCTCACACCTATAATCCTAGTGCTTTAGGAGGCCGAAAACGGAGGACTACTTGAGGCCAGGAGTTTGAGACCAGCCTGGACAACATAGAGAGACCCCCATCTCTACAAAAAATTTAAAAATTAGTGGGGTGTGGTGGCACATACCTGTAGTCCCAGCTACTTACGAGGCTGAGGTGAGAGGGTCACTTGAGCCCAGGGGTTTGAGCTTGCAATGAGCTATGATTAGCCACTGCACTCCAGCCCGGGAGAAGGAGTGAGACCCTGCCTCTAAAAGAAATTTAAAAATAGAACCATCTTGGTGAGGCCTTTCCATCTAAAGGGGCACACCCTTTACTGTCCAGCTGTTCCACTGCCTCCCTATTCTTTTCCTTCAAGCATATAGTGCAACTCGAAATGATGTATGTGTTTAGTTGTTTAAAGTCTGTTTCCACTATCACATGGGAAACTCCAGGAAAGGACAGTGTCTGTCTTGCTGAGAGTTGATCTTTTTTGTGATGTGCATCTGACACAAGATCACCACTAGCTTAATAAATACTGCCCCCCTAAACATCTTCCAGTTCCCTGCATGCTGTGAGTGCTACTGCAGCCTGCCTTGCCTCCCTTGCTCACTTGCTTCTTGCCTAATTCAGAAACTCAGCTCACGCTGAAGACCCACGCTGTCCCAAACTCCTCCCTTCCCCACCTCATTCTTTGTCCATTGTGTTTCCTCCACACAACAGAGCTCCTTTTTATTTTTGCAACATACAAACTTTATTTAACAAAAGTAACAAGTAAAGTCAAACAGGCACTTATATTAAGAGAAAAACTAACTAAAGAAATTTTATTGTAAACCCCCTATAGTAACCTACTTGCAGTTACATTTAACTGAGCTCTGTTGCTGTGAAGAACACAGTGCATGCACAGGTATGGATGAATGATTTGTACATTTTTCAACCTTATATACACATATACATTAAATTTGGAAAAGATTTAATTGATTATGCCAGGTATACTTCATTTTTGTTGATCTTTTGGAAGAGGTCGTCTAAAAAGAATAATATGCGGTTCTGGCTCATGAATCATCTAATGAACCCAGCCTAGACTTTGTTGGACACCGAGTCTCCTTGACTCTTCTTCAGACATCAGATGGGTTTTGGGTACTTGTTTGGAAAGTTCTCTGGGTTCAACATATGAATTCTGGGAAATGTTTTTAAAAATAAAGAAAAAGAAATAATATAAAAGATTAAGAAAAAATAAAAAAAATAAAAAAAAAGGAAAAGTTCTCTGGGTAGTGCTCATTGAAGTACTTGTCCGAGTAGTAGACCTGCTTGTGGGCCATCCTGCCGGCGCGCGGAGGAGCACGCGGAGGAGAGCGAGAAGAGAGGTCACTACGAACAGCGCATCGGTGCCTGTCCAAGGAAACGACTCCACTCAACAGAGCTTTAAGGATCATCTCAAGCACTGTGAAGCATTTTCTGATCCCCAATACATGATGATCTGTTCCTGCTTTGAACCCCAAAGTATTTTGTAACTAATGACACACTCCTCCTGTCCTGCCTTGCATTAACCCTCACTCCTAGGTAACTGAGTGCTCAACAAATCTGTGGAACAAGAGGGCTGAAAACCAACACAGTAATCTTCAAAATCTTGTGGGCATCAGAACCACAAGATGAGCTTATTAAAATACAGATTCCCAGGCTCCCCAAAAGGGCTTCAGTAGGAATCTGCACTATTCCAAGCATTCTTTTTATTTTTGGGGGGACAGAGTCTCACTTTGTTGCGCAGGCTAGAGTGAGTGCCGTGGCATCAGCCTAGCTCACAGCAACCTCAATCTCCTGGGCTCAAGCAATCCTCCTGCCTCAGCCTCCCGAGTAGCTGGGACTACAGGCATGTGCCACCATACCTGGCTAATTTTTTTGTATATATATATTTTTTAGTTGGTCAATTAATTTCTTTCTATTTTTAGTAGAAACGGGGTCTCGCTCAGGCTGGTTTCAAACTCCTGACCTAGAGCAATCCGCCTGCCTCAGCCTCCCAGAGTGCTAAGATTACAGGCGTGAGCCACCACGCCGGCCAGCATTCTTTTTTTTTTTTTTTAATTTTTTAAAATAAAAGATGGGCTCTTGCTCTTGTTCAGGCTAGTCTCAAACTCCTTAGCTCAAGCAATCCTCTTGCCTCGACCTCCCAGAGTGCTAGGGTTACAGGCGTGAGCTACCATGCCCAGCCCTCAAGCATTCTATGACTTTGATTGATGCCCACCGGTTTAAGAACTTCGTAACAAGTTAAAATAAGCGAACAGAATCCCCACACCCAAGGCTCACTGATTAAGTCTTAGGAGAGTTCAGAAGTTGAATCCCTACCCTTCCTCCTCCAAGAGGTTAGACAAACAAAGACTCCAAAGTTTATTTGCTCTTCCCTTTTAATCCCCTTCCTGCTCCAACTCTTAAAAAATTACCCAGAAAACGTAGTAATTAAACAAAAGAGTGCTCAAAGAGCCAAGGCAAGCCATCCCAAGAGTAGCAGGCTCCCTCCCACAGGGGCCAAAGTCTGGATGCTGGGGTCTCCACTCAGAGCCTGGTAGTAAAAGCTGGTGCAGAATAAGGTTGTTCCGGAGGCCAGTAGTAACCCAGCCTGAAGAAGACACAACGTAGAAAACAGGATTGTAAGTACAGGGCTGGCTGAGGAGGGTGGGGAGGCGGAGGGCTTGGTCAGGTTTAGACAGGGAGAAAGATTACCCAGAGGGGCTTTCTGCAGTGCGGTACTGCTAACAGGGCCAGGCTGTGAAAGAAGTGGTGTTTGTTGGTTTTGTCAAAGAGCTGTAAGAAAAAGAGAAATGGGGGGACTTTCCTAAGCAACATAGGAGCCTGAGATCCCGTGGTGACACATGGGACCAAAGTTCGTTCCCCCACCCTACCCTTGAAGTCCCAGCTTGCTCCCACACCCCAGGCTTGCAGCCCTGGCTGCTCCAGAGATCCTCACCACCCCCTCAACTTCTCTCGGGAACCCCAGACTTTTTGCCCTAGTAGACCCGCGAGTCGAGGAGCCCCGACGCAGTTACTTCACCTCCTTCCCGTAGGCATCTGGGAATTGGGCGCCTGTGGAGAGGAGAGGGAGAGGTTACCAGTCCCGCCCCCACGCGTGGGGGACCCAGGTGGACACAGGCGAGGAGGGGTGCCCCCCAGGAATCTTCCGATTGGTGGAAACACGCATCGGGCAGTACTGGAAACCAACTGGACCCGGCTGGGCGACTTTAAAAGGTTTAGGATTCCGCGGGCTGTCTGGTAACAAGGAGGCTGGGCAATTCCTATAGGCTCCGCCCTTGCACCAGACCCCAAAGGTCGCCCCAAGCAGTCCCAACTTCGTCCCCAGCGCCCTAACCGTGCGCTCCGTAGGAGGCCAAGCCTAAAGCCCCAGCTCCGGACAAGGCGCCCAGGCGGCGGAAAGCCGTCCCCAGCCCAGCCATGGCAGTGGATGGTCACGCGCTGGACGAACACCGCCCAGGCCACCCGGGAGGCCAGCCAATCCCGATCACCCATGCAAATAAGGTTCACAGGTGCCCAATCCAGGCCGTGCTCATTTCAGCGTTCAGGTCCTCACCCGGGTACTGGAGCCTTTGTAAAACTGCTGGGGAGTGGTGAAGACGTCTGGCGGGCGGAGAAACCAGAGCCAATTAGGAGCAGAGGAGCGAAGCGGTGGGGGGCGGGGTTGAGGGCGGGACTAGAGGATTTGCGTCACGGATTGGCCCACTTTCCAAGTTGATCGCCTCTTCGAACCCTCCCCCACCACCTCCGGCCAATTTCCAAAGATCCCGGTCCCCACGCAAAGTTCCGCCCCCTTCCCCCAAAGGCTCCTCCCGTTCAGCTTCAAACCAGCCCCACTCCCAAAAAGAGGAGGCCCCCTGGATACCCAAGCCCCACCCACCCCGTTAAACTCCGCCCCCTGGAAGATGGCCCCGCCTCCACAGCAGGAAGCTCCTCCTTCTTCGCATGATGCCCCGCCCCCTATAGTTCAGACCTTCTCCCCCCAGATCACTAGAGCCCCGAGGGTGGGAGATCCGGGGGGATGTCTCCACCCTGCCCCGGCCCGCTACGTCCACCCATCCGTCTGTCTGTCCACTCCCACCCCCTTCCACCGTCTCCAATCCCCCCACACTCCGGAGGGCGGGCGGGCAGGCGGGTGCGAGCGGGGGGTGTGCGCCGCTCTCTCGGCAGGGGGCGGGGGAGGCGGCCGCGCGGTGACGCGCGGGGCTGCTGCGGCTGCTCCGCCGGCGGATCATCACTCTCGGGCTGGGATGGACGCGGGGCGGGCGGGCCCTGGCGCGCGGAGCCAGGAGTCCGGGCCTCCCGGCTGCTGAGCGTCCCTCGAAGCCTCCCCTACCCTTGCCTTCCTTCCTAGGAACCGGGCCCACCCCAGCCCCGGGGCTCCGGACTCGGCTCCCGCCCTCCTCTGAGTCCCCAGACCTCCCCCTCCCGCCCGCCCTCGGGATCGACTAGATCCCTCCCCCTCCCCGAGGATTCCGGCTGGATCCCTGCCCCTGCACCGCGGATCCTGCGCTCCCGGGCCCCTGGGGATTGCCGTGGACCGTGGACTCCTTCCCCAGCACCCGATCCTTTAGGATCCTCCGCCTGGACCGCCTTCTGGTCCCTCGAAGCCAGCCCACAGAGCCAGTGGATCCCCAATCCAGTCCTGTCTCGTTGTCCCCTCCTTGCTCTGCCTTCCCCACTGCGGGGTTCCCTGTTCTCGGGCTCCCCCTGACCCCATCCCCTAGATCTCCTTTTCCCGGGGATCGACTGGATCCCGGCCCCGCCCCCCGGGGCTGGGGCGATCCCCCTCCCCCGCCGGGTGAGGCGCTGCGGGCGGGGGCTGGGCCTGCGGGGCCGCGGGGGCTCGGAGGCCGCCGCCCCCCTCCCGAAGGCCGTCCGCCCCCTACTCGGAGCCCTGGATGGAGGCACCACGGCCCCAGGGCTGAGCCAGGTAGGAGCTAAGCCGGCCGGGTGGAGGGGGCTGCGGGCGGTCCACTGGGGTCTCCCTCTCCCCATCTCCCTCCCTGCGCCTGGTTTCCCCCAGCCTGCTCTGTCTGCGTGTCTCCGCCTAGGGATGCTCTCGCCGTGTCTCTGCGTCTTGGTCTCTTTGTCTCTGCCTCTCTCCGGTCCATGAATGATCCTTTCAATGGGCCCACAGACCCCGTGTGTTCCCATCTCCCCTCCCCCTCCTTCTCCCCTTCCCGGCCAAGCCATTTTCACCACTGCAGGAAGGGGGGGCCTGCGGCCAGAGCCCCCGTCCCTCAACTCTCCCCGGCTGGGGGAGTCAGGCCTGGGCAGGAATGGAGAGAGCAAGGCAGAGGGATGGGGAGGAGGAGGGAGCAAGATGTGGCAGACAGAGATGGGGAGAGAAAATGGGGGAGACAGAGACAGGGAAAGACAGGGGAGAGAGAGAGAGAGCACGAGGGTGCTTGAGGGAGAAATTTGGGGAAGGTATTTGGAGGAAAGAGAGAAAGAGATGAGAAAAACCAAGGAGAGAGATGAAGAGAGACTGAAGGCAAGAGCTGGAGCAAGCTGGAAGAGGCCCAGGAAAGATGCTCTGAGGGAGCGCTACGGAGAGGAGAGAGATGGGGGGGCCTCCAGTGGGAGGGAAGGAGGGAGAGAAGCTGTCTGGTAGGGAGAAGGCCAGGGGCCCAAAGTACCCTAAGGGAGAGGGGGTGACAGAGGCAGACCATGTTGGGGAGAGGGGGCAGCAAGGCCATGGTAGCTGAGCCCAGTCTGTCTTAGGAAGAGTGATCCTGGGGGAGCTAGCCCCAAGCCCCCTCCAGGTGATGGGGGAACAGGAGCTTAAGACAACCTGAAGAGGGGGAGGGCATGGCTGGGGGAGTGTGGTAAGGATTCCTGTGTCCTCATCTCTGGAATAAATTGACACCTGCAGAGAGCCACCCGCGGGCTGGCGCCTGGCTCTGAAAACCCCGCGTCAGCAAACAGCTCTGGCGGCTGGGAGGGGGGCAGGGGGGGCTTGCCGAAATGACCTGGGTACCTGCCCCTTCAGGCTGATCTCTTCCCTTGTCCTGTCCCTGCTGCCCTGAGCACCCAGGCATCACAGCAGCAACTGTGGGGGCTGGCAAGGGGAAGGGGAGGTGAATGGATGGGAAGGGATGGGATGGGATGAGAAGAAAGCTGAGAGTTGTCCCCAGGACATGGGTCAAAATACTGTGCAAAGAAGAAGAGGTGTCTGGGGTCCAAGGCTATTCAAGATTGTGGGAGGGGAGCAGTCAGTGGGCTCATGTGATGCCTTCCCAAGCCCACCTCAGCATCCCTTCTCCCCAGCCAGAGGCCTGGTCACTAGGAAAAGCTCTGATTGGCCAATAAGGAGGGAAAAGGCAGGTCTTTTAGGGTTCTCAATGCCCCCAATCTTCCCCTCCCCTCAACATATATACTTCTTCCTCTAGGCTAAGGTTGAGGGAAACCTAGCACTCTGACTCATGGCCCTGCCCCCTCCTCATGCCCTGAGTGGACCCCACAACCAAGCCAGCCCCTTCCCCTCTTGCTCCAGACCCCCCCCTCCAGGGTTAAAGCTGCAGCCCGTTGCCGAGGTAACATTGCGGGGCAGCATCCCGTCGCCCAGCAACCGGCTGCAGGATCACGCATCTGTCCCGGGATTTGCCCCTCCAGCATCCCCTGCCTACTCTAACCCCGGCCTCAAGACACCTCAACTTCTGAAGGAAGAAATGGAGAGGGCCTGGGGAGAGAGGTCCTGGGTGCACAAATCCTTAGGGAATGGTGTGTTGAAGGGGTGAGAAGGTGCTCGGGCTTGTACAGTCCCAAGGAAGGCCTGAGTGTGGCCTGGGGTGGGGGTTCAGCACCATGAAATTACAGCTCAGGAGTAATTAACACGTATAAACAAACCCGCCACTTCCTGCTAATTAATGACTTGGTATTTTTTATTTTCTCTTCCTTGTCTATCTCATTCCCTCCCAGGGAGGTGGGAACTGGGACTCCTGAGTCCCTGAGGAGAGCCTGTCTGGGAGGGACAGAGCAGCTGAAAGGGGGTGTGCTGGATCTGGGGCGCTGACCCTCCCTCTCCTCTGCCCCTGCCCTGGACTTTTACCCCATCTTGACCCTACCCCCAGCTTGGATCCCTGCTGAGGGGAGGAGGGTTGCCGGACTGGGAGGGGGAGGTGCCAGGGAGCCTGTGGGTGGTAAGGGACAACTTGGTCTGAATTCCAAGTCACTAACCACTTGTCTCTTCTGTTTCCCCATTCCTTTCTGTCTGCCCCATCCAATTTCCCTTCCCTTCTTCCACCTCTCCTCTGTATTTTTCTGTCTGTCTGTCTGTCTGTCTTTTGCCGCCCTGTCCCTCCCTCTCTGTCTCCCGCAGGTCGGGCCTGCCTTCACCTGCTCCCACCTCCTTCCCCACCCCTTGCCCCCTCCATGGAGAGGAACAGACCCCTTCTCTGTCCAGTCTAACCCAGGACCCTCCCCACCCCCCTCTTCCCTCCTTTCCCCTGCCCCCTCCTCCCTCCTGGGGCGAGGGGGGCCTCCCTCCCTCTCCCCCCCCTTCTCTCTCTCTCCGAGGGGGGGGGTCCCGGGGAGGGAGGGGGGGTCCCCCGATCAGCATGTGGCTCCTGGCGCTGTGTCTGGTGGGGCTGGCGGGGGCTCAACGGGGGGGAGGGGGTCCCGGCGGCGGCGCCCCGGGCGGCCCGGGCCTGGGCCTCGGCAGCCTCGGGGAGGAGCGCTTCCCAGTGGTGAACACGGCCTACGGGCGAGTGCGCGGTGTGCGGCGCGAGCTCAACAACGAGATCCTGGGCCCCGTCGTGCAGTTCTTGGGCGTGCCCTACGCCACGCCGCCCCTGGGCGCCCGCCGCTTCCAGCCGCCTGAGGCACCCGCCTCGTGGCCCGGCGTGCGCAACGCCACCACCCTGCCGCCCGCCTGCCCGCAGAACCTGCACGGGGCGCTGCCCGCCATCATGCTGCCTGTGTGGTTCACCGACAACTTGGAGGCGGCCGCCACCTATGTGCAGAACCAGAGCGAGGACTGCCTGTACCTCAACCTCTACGTGCCCACCGAGGACGGTAAGGGCGCAGGCACAAGGCCAGGCACCCCCTGGACACAGCCCACAAACGGTCACACAAACTCTCAGGCACTGGCACTGCTCCGGGGCTCAGAGCTGGGCCTTTGTGGGAGACCATGTGTCCCTGCAGCCTCTGCTGCCCTCTGAGGATTGTAAAGGTGCTTGCCAGGCAGTCCCAGGCTCGCATCCCAATCCCACAGACAGCCACTCCAGAAGTTCTTTGTGCCCAGAGGGAGCCATTGTAAAGGTAGCAGGCACTGGACTGGGCTCACCCACACACTTCTCCAGGAGGCACACACAGCGTCTGCCAGCTCATCTCAATGTGGCCACCCTGCCCGGACCCCCAATCCAATGCCCAAGTACCTGCCTCCAGGCCCGGGCTTGCCCCTGCCAGAGTACTCACTTTAGCTATACCTATACCCCAAGTGCAGTGTAGACTCTTCCCCTCTCCCAGGCCAGCATCCATCCATCACATCCCATCCAGAGCCCTTCACTGAGCCAGGTGCCCTTGGCAGTGGTCCTCACACCCTCCTCCATGGTTCTGTCCCTTGACCCCTATATGTCCCTGAAGGATCAGGAAAACTCCTCGCCAAGGGCCCCCCATTCACAGCACAGCCCACCCATCCCCATCCTCCCTCGGGCTCTTGAGTGACTGTTCCTACCAATGAACTCCTGTTCACTGCAGTCAGCTAATACGCCCCAGCACGCTCCCTCGGGACAGTTCTCCAGCCACCCTCAGCACACGCAGATTGATCAGGATACCTGCTAGCACATACAACAGAGGGCAACAGGCAGATTGCAGCCGTCCCAGCAGACCAGCCTTGCAAACAGCCCCCACATTACCCTTCTGACACCCGTCTCGCCACTCCAAAACAAGCCACGCCAACACCTCCACAGGCCATTTTCCAGCGACCTTACACATCAGCCTGTCTGCAGGAATCCCTAATGCACCCCTGACATACCCAATACCTCCATATCATGTGCTCAAATTCCATAATAGACTGTGAACCCCAACTACTCAACTCTCAGATCAGGTACCCAACCAGCCTGTACCCTTACCATGTGCTCTTAACACCTTTACATGGCCTGTTTCCCCAGCACTTCTCTGAAATTGTGTACCCCGCCACCCACACACGCCCACGCTCTCCGGTGTCCCTGGATATAGATCGTTGCCCTAATAACACCCACACATACACCTTAAACCCTGATAACCCTGCATGTGGACTATGTGATCCAAGTGGCCACTCACGCCACAGTCCCCCACTCCCTCAACACTTCTCAAACATTCTGATCTGATGGCTTTTGGGAAAAAAACACTTCTCAAACATTGTCTACCCCAACTCCTACCTAGAGATCATCTGCACTATACTATAGGTAGTGACAACACATCCTGCACCCCTGCACCCTAATCACAGCTCAAGTGCTCTAGCAGAATGCACCCTGCACCCAGTATCCTCTTATGCCAAATTCAGGCACCTTTACCCACCCACATCCATCCCAACACCCCCAAGACCATCCACCCTATATCCCTCATACCAGCCATACACCCTAACCTCCTAACTACCCCCCCATGTAAACCATGCCTCCTAAACCCCCACACACAATGCACAGAAACATCATCTGCTGTAATCCCATGTGAATTCTCGTCAACCTAATCCCCCATAGACCATGTACCCCAACACACTCCTCCCATCCTCCTCAATGCCCAACGCCCTCCACATGAGGACTACCTGCTCCACGTTCCTCTGCCCTCTCTTGAGCCACCTGTCTGCTGCCGTCCTACCTATGAATCATTCACCCCAGTACCTCCACGCACACCGTGCATCTCAACACTCCCCACCCCCACACTTTCACATAGGCTGTCCGCCTATCTCATGACCCCCCATGGGAAACATCCACCCAACCCTTCCCACCAAAGGATTGTCCCCTGCCCCCACACCACCCATGCCCACACCTTCTGTATTTTTAACCATCACTCCTTGCAGACCTGCTTGGGGCCTGACACATCCAGGTGATCTCACTGAATCTTCACACCAGCTCTGGGAGGAAGAGCTTGACTCAGGCACACGCGCGCGTGCGGGCGCACACACACTTCATATTCTCACGGGTACACATGCCCTGGTGACTTCATCCCCATCCCCATCCTCTCACAACGAGGTCCTGTTCCCCATGGGTCCCCATGGGGCCTTCACTGCCAGTTGGGAGAAGCCTTCCAGAGCTAGCCTGGGCCTGATGGCCCACCCTTCCCTGTGCTGGTCCCCATGCCATTGAGGAAAAACCAATCAGCCTGGGGAAACCCCTGAGGCCTCTGGGTTTTCACTCTGCCCTGACCAATCCCCTAATCTGAAAGAAGCCCAGAGCCATTCTCTGGGCCCAGTCTGGGCTTTCCCTGACACTGGGCACACTTCCTGCCTCCAAGTGCCTCCCGGCACCTTATGTGTCAGGCTGGCGCAGGGCACTGTGTTTCCTGTTTCCTATGTGTGGACCGAACCCCCAGGTGGGGAGGGGACTTTTTGGCAGTGGAGCAGGGGTGGGATGGTGGGGGTGGCTGGTGGCCCTGGTGTGAAGTTCACCATTTTGGCGGGGAGGAGAGGAGGCCTGGGTAAGGGGTGAGGTTGGGGGAACAGCGGAGGGATGAGTTGGAGTGGAGGGCAAGACCTGATGACCCCTGTCCCTGCTTTGCCCACACTGGGGAGCTGGGGTGAGAAGCCAGGCTTATTATGAGTGCAGACGGAAGAGAATTGCCGGTGGGTGAGACTGGGTAGGGGGCAGGCAGCTCTAGCTGACCTACCCACAGCCCCCCAGTGGGGAATGGAGGGCTTCCAGGGCTGGGGCTGAGCTGAGGGGCAGGCTGGCCCCAAACCTGTGCTGCCCGCTGCCCGCCAGAGTGGTCCAGAGGGAAGCAGAGTCCTTTCTGCTGCAGCCTCTCCTCCTATAGCCTGGGTGGGGCAGCAGGCAGGCACTTGGCTGGCCCTGAAGGGGGCCTTCGTGAGAGGCAGCCTGGGTGGCAAGCTGGCCTTGGTCTTCCTGGGCTTGGGCGGGCTTCCCCTCCCCTCCCACCCCTTTCTAACACCGTTTCATTTCCAGCAATTAGTAAACACACCGACAAGCCAAATCCTTTCCAGCCAAGTCAATATGTCTTAAGACAGGCCTCAGCCCACTCAGGCACCCCACCCCCCCAAAACCAGCCTTTTCTTTGGGGCATGACTTTTTCCGGGGAGGGGAACAAAATTGGGTTGTAGAAACGTTTTTCTCTTTTCTTGGTTTCTTTTTCTTGCAAACAAATTTTGCTTTTTTTGGCTTATTTTTTCTGCCTCCCCCACCCTCCCCTTTTCTGCTTTCTCTCCTCCCCTCCCCATCCACCACCTCCCCCGACCCCCATCTTTCCCCACAAAATTGTCCTTTTTTCTCTGTTTTGTGTTCCCGGTCTTAGGTCCGCTCACAAAAAAACGTGACGAGGCGACGCTCAATCCGCCAGACACAGGTAGATTTAAAAATCCCGCTGCTGCATGTGGTTGCTTATAAGAGGACGTTCATGGCCCTGCCCCTAACTAAATGTCCCCTCAGCGCTCAAGGCCCCTCAGTCATTCTCCCAACTAAAAATGAAAAAGAAAAGAAAAGAAAAATTTTTAATAATTGGAAAAAGGAATTATGAAAACTTCAAACAAAATTTAAACAATGTTGGACCCACTAGAAAACCTTCGAGAAAAGCTAAACCTGGTGAAAATAAGGTGGAAAAAGAAAAGCAATTGGAATGTCAGAAAAAAAAACAAAGAATTGGATGAAATGTTTAGAGTTTGAAAGAAATTTGGACGGTTTTGAAACTTGTGAAATGTAACATTTGAAAAAACAATTTGAATTCGGAGCAAAATGACTTTTGAAAAAAGTTTAAAAGTTGGCAAATTGATGACACAATTGAGACATCATAAACCTGCAATTTCCAAAAGCCTTTCAGACACAGAAAACGCAAACATTTGAAGTGAATTTAAGAAATTTGGAAATTTTTGAAAACAGGGCCCAATATCTTGAAGTTTCACCACAAAATTTTGAAAAAAAAAAATGCAAAGAATTTTTTTCTTTTTTTCTTTTTTTCCAAAATGGATCTTTTTGTTTTTTCTTTTCTTGTTGAATCTGCCCCGAGAGCTTCTTGCTTTTTGGTTGTTGTTTTTTTCTTTCTTTCTTCTTTCTTGATCCTGTTTTTTGTTGTTGGTTTTGAATTCTTGTTGCCCCAGCCCCTCTTCCTGCCTCCTTCCCTTTCTGACCCCCCCCAATACTGGGAGAGGGGTGGGGTGAGGGTGGGGAAGAACGGAGGACATTTAGGACAGGACCCTGGAGGGAGGGAGATTCTAGCATGAAACTGCTGGAAAGCCACTCAGGGTTCCAGAATGAAGGCAAGAACAGAATTTGGGGAAGACACAGAGAGGTGCTGCCCACCTAGGTCGGAGTTCTGGCCGAAGCAGCCAGGAGCATGGAGGCTGCAGAGAAGGTCTAAGAGACAGGAGGCAGGATGCTGTCTGGGGAGTCAAGGACGCTGTCTAGTGATCTGCAGGTTGACCTTCTGGCAGGAGGAAAGTTTCTAGCAAAACAAGGGAGCTGGGTAGAGTTGTTGCGGATCAGGTGTGCAGGGGAGGCCCAGGCCTGGCTTTTGTTTGGTGAGTGTCCAGGCTAGTTGAGGATGGCAGGTGTCAAGGAAGAGGAGGGTGTGTGGGCTGGGGATGACCCCCAGCCCTGGCACTGTAGCCGAATCATGGGGGGGGGGTTACTGCAGGGGAGGGTACTATAGCCTTGGGGATCCTGGCAAGTTCTCTCAGATTCCCACCTTCTTCTGGAATTAGTCGCCCCTCAGTTTGGTCTGGAGTGTCTCAAGGTACTACTACCCGTGGCAGTGATTAGGGGATCCTTTAGGGACATGGCAAGAGAAGGGTCCACTGCAGAAGCCAGGGTTCAGGCCAGTTTATGGGGGTCCAAGTCTAGAGAGCTGCACTCTGTCTTCATTAAGCAGGCTCTTTCCCACCCTGCCTCCTCCTGCCACAGTAATTAGGCTGGGGGTTGCCATGGTGACTAGGGAGGTGACCTAGAAAGGAATTAGGGCGGGGAGGAGACCAAGCCCCCAGGGACCCTAGGCCTGGCACCCCCTCACCCACAGACCAGGGTACCATGTGGAGCGGAGGCCCAAGGCCTGAGTTGGAGGAAATGCCAGGACCCTCCAGCATCTCTAGCGCTAGTTCCAGCCTCAGGAGCTTGCTCTTCCCAGGAGCAGGAAGGAGATTTGCTGTATGAGTGTGGGGAGGGGGTCCCCTGGATCCAGCAGGTACCCTGAGGAGGGCCACCTCCCACCCCCAGCCTCTGTTGGGCTTCTTGGAAGGTCTGCCCAGCATTCGGAGAAGTGCCGCAGGGCGGGCTGGCAGGGGGTGTGGAGGACCTTCTGCCAGGACTAGCTGGGGAGGGAGGAGGGGAATCCGGTCTTGCCCCCCAGGGATGGGAATGACATATCTCCCCTGAGCTCCAGGCTGGTCCTCAGCAGGCCTGGGAGCTGGGCGGTGCTGCTTCCGGTCTGACTGTGTCCTTGTCCCTGACCCCTTGGCCCACCTGCCCCCCCCCTCCCCACGCAGATATCCGCGACTCTGGGAAGAAGCCTGTGATGCTGTTTCTACATGGCGGCTCCTACATGGAGGGCACCGGGAACATGTTTGATGGTTCGGTCCTGGCCGCCTATGGCAACGTCATCGTAGCCACACTCAACTACCGTCTTGGGGTGCTCGGTGAGGGTGGCAGCCAACTTTGGGGGGTGGAGTCTGGGAGGTGGGCCTGGCGGGCAGGGTTCCTCCAAACCCAGGAGAATGGCTTCAGGGCTGGACTGAGCTGCCCAGAAAGGGGACAAGGGCGCTATGACACCTTCAGGGAGCCCCCTCCTTCTTCTGCCCCCAGGTTTTCTCAGCACCGGGGACCAGGCTGCAAAAGGCAACTATGGGCTCCTCGACCAAATTCAGGCCCTGCGCTGGCTCAGTGAGAACATCGCTCACTTTGGGGGTGACCCTGAGCGCATCACCATCTTCGGGTCTGGGGCAGGGGCCTCCTGTGTCAACCTTCTGATCCTCTCCCACCATTCGGAAGGTACCAGCAGCAACCCCTGCCTGCCCCATCCTTCCCCCTTCCCACAACCCGAACCCTGCCAGCTCCCCCTCCTCCTTCTGGCTGATACTGCCTGGCCTGAGGTCTGCCTGTCCCACCAGGGCTGTTCCAGAAGGCCATTGCCCAGAGTGGCACCGCCATTTCCAGCTGGTCTGTTAACTACCAGCCGCTCAAGTACACGCGGCTGCTGGCAGCCAAGGTGGGCTGTGACCGGGAGGACAGTGCCGAAGCTGTGGAGTGTCTGCGCCGGAAGCCCTCCCGGGAGCTGGTGGACCAGGATGTGCAGCCCGCCCGGTATGGGGTGGGAGGGGGCGGGGTCCAGGCCTTCACTCTCCTTCTGGTTCCAAGGAGGTTGAGGTGAGAGGTGCCTGTGGTTCCATTTGGCAAGGAGAGGTGGGCTTCAGGCCCCTGCCCCTCTAGTGACCTCCTCTTGCAAGCCTTCCCTCACTGGGGGTGCCTGAACAGAACAAGTGAGCACAGGGTGCCACAAAGTGCTTCAGGAAAACTTCTGGAGGGGCCACGTGCCCTGAAAGTCTCAGGGGAGGTTTCTAGTAGGAGAGAAGGGCTTCCAGGCGGAGGGAAGCACCTGCGTGTGAGCTTAGCTGGCCATGGGCTGAGAGGAGGCCAGTGAGCAGGTAGTGAGACCCTGACCCCTTCTCCCCAGCTACCACATCGCCTTCGGGCCCGTGGTGGACGGCGATGTAGTCCCTGATGACCCTGAGATCCTCATGCAGCAAGGAGAATTCCTCAACTACGACATGCTCATCGGTGTCAACCAGGGAGAGGGCCTCAAGTTTGTAGAAGACTCTGCAGAGAGTGAGGACGGCGTGTCCGCCAGCGCGTTCGACTTCACTGTCTCCAACTTTGTGGACAACCTGTATGGCTACCCAGAGGGCAAGGACGTGCTGCGGGAGACCATCAAGTTTATGTACACGGACTGGGCCGACCGGGACAATGGCGAGATGCGGCGTAAAACCCTACTGGCGCTCTTCACTGACCACCAGTGGGTGGCACCGGCTGTGGCCACCGCCAAGCTGCACGCCGACTACCAGTCCCCTGTCTACTTTTACACCTTCTACCACCACTGCCAGGCTGAGGGCCGGCCTGAGTGGGCAGACGCGGCGCACGGAGACGAGCTGCCCTATGTCTTTGGTGTGCCCATGGTGGGTGCCACCGACCTCTTCCCCTGCAACTTCTCCAAGAATGACGTCATGCTCAGTGCCGTAGTCATGACCTACTGGACCAACTTCGCCAAGACTGGGTGAGGGTCAGAGGGGCTGGGTGGGGCTGGTTAGGGCTGGGGCACCCTCCCTCCTTCACGCGGCCATCCTCTTTCTTAAGACACTCTTGCTCAGTAGCCTGCTGAACACCTCTGTACCAGGCACTGAGATGAGTGTTGAAGATCAGCAGCGTTAGACAGAGAGGTCCCTGTCCTTCCTGGGGGTGGGCTCACTTAGTGGCTTTGGTTTCGTGTCTGTCCCTCTTCCCTCCCTTGCCTTCCCACTCCCCCCACCGCTATCCAGAGCTCTGCTCCTCTGACTATTCGGGTGTGTGTGTCTCAGTGTGTGTAAGAGTTTGTGTCTGTTTGTTTATTTGTCTCTGTCTGTCCTGAATCCCATTGGTATCTCTCCCATCCCCTCTGCTCTCTGATCTGTTTACTTTCTGCCACATCCGGGTGCGGGCTTGGTTTCACTGTGGCTATCTCTCCGTCTCTGGCTCTCATGTGTCTTTGTCTCCCTGTTCCTTTCTGTCTCTGTCTCACTCAGTCGCAGCTTCTGCCTCTCCCTGGCTATCTCTTTGTCCGTCTCTGCCCCTCTGTCCTCATATCTGTCTGTCTCTGGCAGTCTGTCTCCATCCCTGTGTGTCTCTCTGTTCCCGTCCCTGGCAGATTCTCTGTCTCTTTGTATCTGTCTCTGCCTCTATGACTTTTTCTCTGGCTTTCTCGCTGTCTCCCCGTCTCTCCACAGCTTGCCTGCTCCCCCCAACTGCTACCCACCCTCCTTGAGAGCCTTGCCCTCACTCCTGTCCCTGCCCTCCTGTGCCCACAGCGACCCTAACCAGCCAGTGCCGCAGGATACCAAGTTCATCCACACCAAGCCCAACCGCTTTGAGGAAGTGGTGTGGAGCAAGTTCAACAGCAAGGAGAAGCAGTACCTGCACATTGGCTTGAAGCCGCGCGTGCGTGACAACTACCGTGCCAACAAGGTGGCCTTCTGGCTGGAGCTCGTGCCCCACCTGCACAACCTGCACACGGAGCTCTTCACCACCACCACGCGCCTGCCTCCCTATGCCACACGCTGGCCACCTCGCCCGCCCCCTGGCGCCCCGGGCACGCGCCGGCCCCCACCGCCTGCCACCCTGCCGCCTGAGCCTGAGCCTGAGCCAGGCCCAAGGGCCTATGACCGCTTCCCTGGGGACTCACGGGACTACTCCACGGAGCTTAGTGTCACTGTGGCCGTGGGCGCCTCCCTCCTCTTCCTCAACATCCTGGCCTTTGCTGCCCTGTACTACAAGCGGGACCGTCGGCAGGAGCTTCGATGCAGGAGGCTCAGCCCACCTGGTGGCTCAGGCTCAGGTGTGCCTGGTGGGGGCCCCCTGCTCCCCGCTGCTGGCCGAGAGCTGCCACCAGAGGAGGAGCTGGTGTCACTGCAGCTGAAGCGGGGTGGTGGCGTCGGGGCGGACCCTGCTGAGGCCCTGCGCCCTGCCTGCCCACCCGACTACACCCTGGCCCTGCGCCGGGCACCGGACGATGTGCCTCTCTTGGCCCCCGGGGCCCTGACCCTGCTGCCCAGTGGCCTGGGGCCGCCGCCACCCCCGCCACCGCCCTCCCTCCATCCCTTTGGGCCCTTCCCCCCGCCTCCCCCCACTGCTACCAGCCACAACAACACGCTACCCCACCCCCACTCCACTACTCGGGTATAGGGGGCGGCTCGGGGAGGCCCTCCTCCCCAGCCCTCCCTGGCCCGGCCACTCTGAAGGCAGAGAGGAGGACTTGGCAACAGGCTTTTCTCCTGTGGAGTTGTCACACGTCGTCGAGCAGCATCAAGGTGGACATGGGATTCCTCACTGGGATGTGTGTTTCTCCCATGCAGAGAGGCTCATTCTCTTCTCTGGACCTGGGCCTTTGAACAACTGGAGGGTGTTTTTCCCCTCCATTGGGACACCAGTCTTCGGTGTGTGGAAATGTGGAAGTATTTTCCCACGTGGAGGTGTGCTTTCTCACAAGGGGGTGTGTTTTCCCATGTGCAGGGTGAGGTTTTTTTTTTGCCGCCCTGGACACATGTTGGCCCCCTCGAAGAATTTCTGCGGGGATTTGTACCCCAGAATCCTGTTCCCTCATGCCTTCTCCCCCTCCTCTCCCTCCCTCCCCATGGAGACCCTGGAAGTGGTGTGTTCACATACAGTGACCCTTGGCCACCAGACGACACAGGGTGGTACCTGGGAAGCAGCGAGGAAATCACAGCCCCCCTCGCCCCTGCCCTACCCCCTGCCCCCGCAAAGCATGTCTTTCCCCCGTGGCACAAGTCAGATGAAGCATGTTCTCCCAGGAAGGCCCTCACCTTCCACAGAGGACAGACACAGATTTCCCGCCAGGGGGAAGGGAGGAGATCCGGGCATCCCAGTGCTGCCTGGAAACTTGTTTTCCCATGGTCCAGGATACATTTCTGAGTGGAAACATGTTTTTGCATGTGGATGTGTGTTTTCCCAGGCAGAGGGTCCCTCTCTCCACAGCACTCCCCTGCGGCTCCCAGGCCTCATGCCCAGTACTCAATTCCTCCTCACACAGCCGGTGGGAGCAGCCTCCCGGGGATGGGGATGGGAGATTGACAGAGCCGAGGGCATGTACAAACCCTGAGGGAGGGCTCAGCCCTCCCTGGCCCAGGGATGCTGAGTGGGGGCGGGGCAGGGCACATGCCACCCGCAGAGGCCATGCATGTTTGACCAAAGCCCTCCTCAGGATCTGAGGACAGCCTTTCCCTCAGTCCTGAGATCATTGCTCATCTGTGCCAAACTGGATAGGTGGGATTGAGGGGGAAAGACCCCGAAAATGTGCCAAGGATTCCCCAGTCCCAAACCCAAGCAGGGGACATGGTGGGGAGGGGGTGCAGCAGCAAAGGGGGCTCCCACCTGTGTCTCTTCTCTGCTCACCAGGTCATGTCCCCTTCTGTCTCAGTTCCCCATTCTCCTCCATCGCTGTCTCTCTTTGAAGCTGTCCCCATCTCAGTGTCAGACCAGCCTTCTCCCCTCAGCTGACCCCCCTCAATTTTGACCTGTGTCCCCTTGGCTGAAGGGATGGCAAGGAGCAGTAGAGGCTGGAGGGGAGGCAGCGGGAGGAAGGTCTCACCAGACAGGCTGGGGAGAATGAGGTCAGCTGTGCCAAGGAACAGATGGAGGGGACAGGAGGGGATGGGGCTTGGGCAGACACCAGCAGGAAAAATTTGAAAGGTTTTGAAAAGTGTGAGGTGACTGCCCAGAGGTCCCTGGGTGTGAGCCTCTGGGGAAAAGAATGATGTCAGGAAGGGTTTAAGGGACGCCAGTGGAGAGGGCAGAGGAGGGATGCATCCTCTGCCGGCCCTTTGTGGGATGTTAGTGCCAAACTTCAGTAGGGGTGGGGTGCTGTCTTCCACTGACACCCAAATCCAGAATCCCTGGTCTTGAGTCCCTAGAAACTTTGCCTCTTTACTGCCCCTTCTTCTCCTACCTCCATCCATGGAAACTTAGTTCTTTTCTGACCCTTTCCCCTGCCTGGTCTAGCTCCTCTCCAAACAGCCATGCCCTCCAAATGCTAGAGACCTGGGCCCTGAACCCTGTAGACAGATGCCCCCAGATTTGGGGCACGGGAGGGGGGCTGGGGGACCCCATGATTCAGCCACGGACTCCAATGCCCAGCCCCTCTCCCCAGAACAATCCCGACAGTCCGTATCCTTACCCCAACCCTTTGCGGCTCTGTACACATTTTTAAACCTGGCAAAAGATGAAGAGAATATTGTAAATATAAAAGTTTAACTGTTGGTTGTGCCTGCTATGTTGGGGGCATATGGTTCTGAAGAAACAAGCCTTGGGGAAGTGACTGAATGAAGAAGGGGGACCTGACCCCCAGCCCTTCTTTTTAGGAGGTCTGAGGGGGAGTGGGTGCTGGGGTAAGGTTGCCATGGTAATGGGGCTGTGTGAAGAGTTAAGATCAGGACTCATGTCTATGCAGAGGCTGGAGCCTTGTCTAGTTCCAGAAGGAGGGCCAGGGGCTGATGGGGGCAGATGCCAAACAAGCCAGAGGGCCAATAGGCCAGTCCAGACAGCTGGCTATAGGAGAGGCATGCAAGGTGAAGGGTTTGGCCTCTGCCACAGCCTGGGCTCAGACTAGAGGATCAACCACAGGCCCAGGACTCAGAGTAGCCCCTTGGCACATTGTGAGGGAGAGCCCCAGCGCCATTGTGACCTGCCTGCACCCTCTGGGACATGCAGGCAGGCTGGTGGGCACTGTGGGCACTGTGGGGTGGGGGCCTGAGGGCCCCGGTGGCCCTAGGGACCCCATGGCCATGGCTGAGCGGCCTCGGCCTGGGTGGGCCTCATACCACAACCCCAACACCAACAACTGCCAAGACCTGGGCAACTCCATCCTGTTGCTGCTGGGCCTCATCATCTGCATTAACATTGGCATCAATATGGTGACCCTGGTCAGGGCAGGGCCGGGCGGGAGGGTGCTGGTGGGATAGCTGGGGCACGCCTGGTAGCCAGGGTCTGCCTGGGGTCACTGTGTCCTCCCCCACCTAGCTCTGGAGCCGACTCCGTGGCGTCTTACACAAAGCGTTCCATCATATCATTTGTGAGAAAGGTAGGCCAGGGCTGGGGGCAGTAGGGGCCAGGGATGAGGGTTGGGGCACAGAAGGGGCAGAAACTAGGCATTCCAGCCCCAGCTCTAAGCTGTCCCTTCCCTCCTGCTCTCCCCTGCCAGACACCACAGCTGTGCAGCTTCTCTCCCTGAGCCCCGCCTCTCTAGCCCCGCCCTGGACCCCATAGGAGTCTCCCGCTAGCCTTTCACCTCTCCCTGATCCACAGAAGCTCCTAAGTCATGCTCAGCTGAGAAGCAGATCCAGCCCTCGAAGAAGCAGAGCCCCCCTGCAGTCCACCTTCGATGCACCATGGACCCTGTGAAAATGACGGTGACCCCGCCTCCCTCTCGCCGCCATCGCCATCGAGCCTCTCCGGCACGCCGTGCCCACCGCCCAGTCGCTTGGGCCCCTGACACTGACGATGAGAAGCCCCGACATCAGTACCCAGCAATCTGCTCCTACCACTGGGATGACCCCCAGGACTGGGAAAGCTTCCAGCCCACCCAGGAGACCTGGGCTCCCTGGACTCGGGACACTCCAGAGGTGTCTCCCCAGACCATCCGCTTCCAATCAATGGCAGAAGAAAGGCCCCTCAAATCAGAGATGCGGTCAGAGCTGGGTCTAGAGGCCTATGTGTACCCTGTGAACCCCCCACCCCCCAGCCCTGAGGCCCCCTGCCACGAGAACAGTGGGACAGTGGCAGAGGTGGAGGCTCAACCTGCCCCCACACCTGTCCTGGGCCCAGCAGTCGTCCCCGAATTCCCCCGGCGCCGCTCCTCAGGCCGAATAGTGTATGATGCCCGGGACGTGAGGCGGCGACTTCGGGAACTGACCCGGGAGGTGGAGGCCCTATCCCGCTGTTACCCCCTGGCCTCTGGATCTAGCACTGCTGAGGGGACAGGCAAAGACTGGGTGTACTGTTCTCTGAATGGGAGGTGACTAGGAAAAATAAAAAGGAGAGAGGAGGTGGTCTGCGGTGGTGTGGGGGGGTCCCGGGGCCTGCACAACGCCTGGAAGCCCGGCTTGCGAAGGGAAGGATCTCCTTGGCAACAGGGCCCTGAGAGCCCTGAGAACCCTGGTCAACCTCTTGCCCCCATAGGCCTTGTCCTCAGCCCTTTCCTAGGCCCTCTTGGTTCCAGGGCTCCCATCTGCCCCTACCCTGTTTTCCTTAGTGCCCAGAGAAGCCCCCAAAACCCAGTCCACATCCCTGGGCAGTCCTGCACTACAAGAGTGACCTCCTCAGAGCGCTGGTCCCTGCCAGAGCCCAGGTTGAGGCTGCAGCCACAGGTGAGGGGTGGTTCCCACTTAAGCCTTGGTTTCTTTGGGGAGTGATGGCTGAGAGTGAGGGTATCTGACAGCTCCCCAGTCAGAACCTGAAGCTCTTGTACCCTTGAGCAGGTTTGGAGCAGAAGATGAAATACTGGGGACATTTGCAAGGTCTGCCTCACCATCATATCCCAGCCCTCTGTGATACCCTCTGATTAGTCCACCATGTCATAGATAAAGAGACGGAGGTTCAGGGAGGCCAAGTGACTTGCTCATGGTTAGAAAGTCAGGCCCTGCCCTACTCCTAGACCACTGGGATCTCATGCACATACACTCACACAAACAATTTGGGAAGAAAGAGCCACAGGAGTGAGTCCAGACTGAAGTGAGTGTGAGTGAGGTGGACCTGACCTTCCGTACTACACAGATGCCAGGAAGCAGACAGACCTTTTGCAAATCGCCCTACTTCTCCATCATTTACACTCAATGTTATTGCTCATCTTAAACTAATCATATTCAGTGGGTATATATTGACCATCTACTATGTGTTTGGAGGCTTGATGGGAAATGCTCACTGGCCTTCCCTCTATTTCTACTGGGTAGTTCACTGTGTAGACAGATGGCTTGCTGTCCCCAGGCCTCCACTTCCACAGACCCTAGTGATGAACCTGGTTTACATCAAAGACTCCTTTTGTCATAGCAACAATTGCACATATTTTGTGCTTTGTTAATTTCATGTGGTTTTCTTAAGGTTTTTCTTTTTTCTTTTTTGAGACAATCTCAGTCTGTTGCCCAGGCTAGATGCCCTGGCGCCAGCCTAGCTCACAGCAACCTCAAACTCCTGGGTTCAAGCGATCCTCCTGCCTCAGCCTCCCGAGTAGCTGGACTACAGGCATGCGCCACCATGCCCGGCTAATTTTTTCTATATATATTAGCTGGCCAATTAATCTATTTCTATTTATAGTAGAGACGGGGTCTCGATCTTGCTCAGGCTGGTTTTGAACTCCTGCCTTTGAGTGATTCGCCCGCCTCAGCCTCCCACAGTGCTAGGATTCCAGGCGTGAGCCACCTCGCTTGGCCTTAAGGTTTTTCTTAAGCTAACATTTTTTCAACTTGGAGTGGGAGTGGGTCGAGTCAAGGCAGTTGGTCAGGCAGGAGAGAAACCATGGTTGGGCTTGGTTGCTGCAGGGGCAACTTCATCAAAGAAGTCAGTCTGGCTCTGAAGGGAAGGGGCCAGTGGGATCAGGGTCCACCAACACCTAGGGCTGCAGGAAGAGTTGGGCATGGATGGGTGCTAAAGGAATTATGACAGGAAGATGGGCAGGATAGGGAGGGATTGTGACAGCAGGGTAACACCTGAAGGCACTCTAGCTGTCACCCATCCAACCACGTCATCCTTGCTGCTGGCCCCAGAGCTATAATGTCTCTATAATGTCTCCAAAGAACAATGAAATGGAGGAAATCCTTTATGTATGACTCAACCCTGTGAAGACTGTCTCATGACTGCAGCTACCATATTTTCAGATCAGGAATCAGGTGTGGGGCTAAGCAAGCCTCATGGCGACAGAGGAACAGACTGCCTGGGATACCTGGGGACTGAGCTTCATCAAGTGGGAGCCAAGGGCAGAGATAGTCGTGTAGAAGGCCAGCAGGGTGGATAGAAAGGCTTCCACCTCTGCATTGTGATGCTCCCTAACCTGCCCCATTATGACCTGGCTCCCTCACCAGCCAGTAGGTATCTCCAGGTACTGGCATGAGTGCAGTGTGGGTCGGGGCTGGGAGGGTGGGGTGGGGGGGTGCGGCCCAGGTGGCCCTAGGACCCCCCCACCATGGAAAACCAGCTGTGGCATAACACCGTGGGGTGCTGCAATCAATACCAAGAAAGTCCCCAGGATGCCGAGGACATCTTATTTCTGCTGCTGGGCCTCATCATTCTTGTCAACATTGGCATCAACGTGGCAACTGTGGTCAGTGATGGTTGTGGACCACCCCCAGGGGTGGTGAAGAGGGCTAAGGGTGGGAGCCAGCTGCAGCCTGCACCTCCATGTGCACCTGTAGTGCTGTTGGGATGCAGAGCCTAGTCTTCACTCCCATTCTACCTGCCCCTAGATGTGGCATGGGCTACAGAACACCTTAGACAAGATGATCGATTGCACAAATCAGAAGAGTAAGTATGGCAGCTGGAGAGGAAGGGGACCCCCACCCCCAGCCCACAGCCCTAGAAACCCAGGCCCAGTGTGCCCAACCCTGACCTCTTCTGATGATTGCCCTGACCTCGTGGACTCTTGCCTTCCCCAGACGATGTTCGGCCTGGTGAAAGTTCCTCCAAAGGCCTCCCAGCCAAGGTCCAGGACGTCCAGATCCACTGCATCATGGACCCTGTACAGGTGAAGATGACCCGACCCGCACGCTACTCCTCTTCCTCCTGCCATGGTCTCAGTAACCACAGCCGCTGCCTCCGCAGTCACAGCCGTGGCCGCCACCGCAGCCGCAGCCGCAGCCGCAGCCGCCCCCAGCACCAGCGCCGCTACAGCCACCAGCAGAGGCCACAGAACCACAGACGACTCTCCCATGGCCACTCACGCTTCCGTAACCAGCACGGCCGCTCAATTCTCCCTAACCATCACAGGCGCAAGATGCCACAGCTAAGGCGAAAGACCTTCTTTGATCGGGAGGACCCAGACACCTACCTGGAGGAGGAGGATGACCTGGCCTTTCCATATACCAAGTACCCACGTCGGGGCTGGGGTGGGCCCTATCCACAAGTGGGCCTGCACTCCAACGTGAGGTTGTGGGGCCGCCAGGGTGGAATCCTGGCCAGCCTGCCCCCACCCTCTCTCTACCTGTCACCTGAGCTGCGCCGCATGCCCAAGCGCGTGGAGGCCAAGTCTGAGCTGAGGCTGCAGTCCT